AACACAAAATACAGCTGATTTACATTCAACAGGTTCTCGTCCATCATCACCACCACCACCACAATTTGTAACTAATGAATATCCAACACCATCATCAATTCCACAACGATTAACTGGTAATCGTAAACTAATTTGTCGTTCTGAATTATCTGAACTTCGTTCTCGACCATCATTTATTGATTATGAAGATTTAGAAATATTTCATCATAAACGACCATTAACAAGAGCACAACAGCCAATACGAAGAGTTTCAATGATGCCTGTTGATGCCGATGGTTATAAAGATTTACTTTTAGATTTTGATAACAAACGAAAAAAATCAAATCAATTCATATCTCGTGGTACATCCAATACAAGTATTAAATCAAAAATAAGTGAAACAACACTTTGCTAGTTTTCAATTACATATTTTATTAAATATACAAATATTCAAAGAAAAAAACATTTCTTTTTTTTTTTTTTTTATTCATTCATTTTTTTGTTAATGATGATGATTGATTAGTACTTTTGAAGCCTTGTACATAGCCTGTTGATTCAATTTCATCTAAACGACCTTCTTTGCCTTTTCCATAGCCTTCTTCATCAAAACGTTCTTTGTGTGTGCCTCTAGAAATAATAAAAATATCAACTCAAAAAAAAAAAAAAGATTCTTGTTTTTTAATATGTTTACGTATAATGTGTTGTATTCGTCATTCGATCAGTTATTTCTTTATTTGTTGTTTCAGTAACATGATTTAGACTAGGACCTTCATTTGCATTAATTTTAGCTAAAATTTCATCATGACTAACACCTTTGGATTCAGCAATACGATCAATTAATGCTTTAAAACCTTTAATTTCAAATGTTTTTCTTAAAAGAAGAAAAAAAAAACAAAAAAGATCGAAAATATATTTTTGATTTTTGCTTACGTTCCTTTTGGATAATGAATTGATTTCGTTTCATTGAAACTTATTGTTAATTTTCCAAGAACACGTGCAATATCATTATCCAATAATTGTGATGTATATTTTGTATCAATTAATGAACAATCTTTCATCATTTTTTGAATACCAGCTGAACCAATTCGAAGTCCATGATGATCAGTTAATTGTGCATGAGTTTTACCAAATTTAGAATATTTATTAAAGGCTTTTTGTAAACCTGACGATACTGATGATTTTTCAGACATTGTAAAATATGTATCGATGCCGTTAGGGATTAATGAAGATGAATAGACTATGTCACGAGCTGTCGTTACTCTTTATAGAAATGGAATAGTCGTTTTTTTCTTCTGCCTGATCAAACAAAGGGAGAAAAAAATCAGCGTTCGCTCATGCCAAGGTTCTAATTCAGTCTTTTTTTTTCCCTATCGTTCCCTATCTCTGACTAACGATGTAAGAACATCAGAAAAAAGAAAAAAGAAATGCATAAAATTCTCCAACTGACATGCAGAGTTCATTCACTCCATATTTCATGACTGCTCAAGGGAGAAGAAATCAATACGTTTTCCCGTTCCATAATTAAATTATAAGTGTTGTTGTGTTGATGAGAACTTTTTTATTTATTCACACGTTTTTTAATTAAAATATTTGAATGAAATGATTGTTGACGTAGACTAGATACATGACATACTTGCAATGAATTCTAATGATTGATATTTATTGAGAAAACCATAAAACATAGACCATAAACTTCAATAAGTCTGTAATATGAAGGGAAACATAGTTCTAGAATTTTACAATGTCATAGGTCACAAGAACTTTTCTGAACTACTAAACAGTTCTGATTTAAAAGCTTAAGCAATTATTAATAACAAACTTATAATAAGGATAAAAATGATCTTCGATTTGGAAATTTTTAACACTATTTTTCAGTTGATTATGTTTCTGATAGTTTTGACATCGCAGGTAATTTCTACAATTATTTTTCGTTCCTTCGAATTAACATCCAACAACATTAATTGTTTCTATCTCATGTCATGATAAAGACAAGTACAGTACAACATAGAAACTAAACAAGCAATTATTGATTGCAATGAATATGGAAGACATTTATGAATGTAAAAACTTAAATTATTTGAACAAATCAATTTATCAAATATAAACAAAGACATGTTCAAGTCAACCAATATAATTTCTTAAAAGACTTGAACAAAGCCTATGGAAAGTAATAATGACATATCACGCGTAACGAATAAGTCACTATCGTTCTAGTTTCTTTAAAGATCTTCAAATACTCAGACGAAAAATGTGAGAAATATGTTTATATCTCATCGAATATGAATCGTTTAATCAAAGAACTTTGTGTTTTCACATATGAAAAATGTACGAAATCAAAAGCGATAAGTTGTTGATAATGTAAAAATCGAGTAAATTTCATTTTTTTTATTTATCCCTAGTTTCATAGATTTTTGAATAACCAATCATAAATATCTAATTTTTATTTCAAGAAAATAATCGTTTATTTGAAATTTCAAGAGACTAAGAAAATCAGATGTAACAATAGAAATCATTATTTTTTTCAAAACTGTTCTATTTACTGTCAGATACTCTTTCTAAACTCTCTGGAAGCATGTATTTCGATGGAATGCGGAAAATAGAGTAGAAAATTATTATTTGAATGACTTTGCATTTATGGAAATTTGAAATAGTATATTGGGTATAGATAGTTTCCAGATGTATCTGAGCAAGTATTTAGAGATACTTTTGTAAACCTTTGATGTTTTGTGTCTAGAAATATTATCCCAAGCGTATTGTCTGGTTAGAATCACTGGATATTGAACTATAAAAGTATTTATTTTGTTTTTTTGTTTTAATTTTCCTTTGCGTTTGAGACAACAGAGTTTTTCTCATTTGGCATAACATCAGAATTGGGAATCAACATAAAAAATTGTATCAGGTGACATATATTTTAAGATTTTTTTTTTTCTTAGACAATGTGCTCATAGGAGATGAGAAGAAAATCTTAGAAAAATGCAATTGTCAGAGATGATAAACATATTTTTCCACGGAAAACAGTTTCTTGTAAAATAAATATGAATTGATCTAACTTTAAGTAACTGATTCTCAATAACATACCTATTTTACTTTATAGTTGAGCCATGGCAATCAGAACTGCTGAATACAAGCGTATTTTTGTTTTATCTCCTTTCCTTGATTTTTATACCAAATGAGATAAAAATTCAATAATCTCAAGTGAAAAACAAAATTCAAAAAAAAGAACGAAATAAAATACTTTTATAGTTCGACATTCAGTGTTTCTAACACGATAAGATACTTGATCTAATCTTTTCAGACATAAAACATGAAAGATTTACAAAAGTACCTCTAAATACTTGCTCAGATACATCTTGGAGCAATCTATGTCCAACAGACTACTTTTTTTAACTTCCTTAACTGCAAATTCATACAAATAACAATTTTCTATTCTGTTTTTCGCACTCGATCGAAATACGATGTTCTCAGAGAGTTCAGAAAAAGCATCTGAGAGAAAATAGAGAAGTTCTGAAGAAATAAGGATTTCTATTGATATATTTGATTTTCTGAGTCTCTTGAAATTTCAAGTAAATGACGAATTCACGGAAATAAAAATTAGATTTTTGTAATCTTCTATTCAAAAATCTGTGAAGGCATAGATAACTAAATGAAAAATGAAATGCACTTAAGTATTCATTCATTTTTTCTTTGTTGCCATTTTAAAAAGTTATAATCCGATGTTTTAGAGGCTCGTAAATTAAGATTGAACGAATTTTAGTCTGTTAAAAATAATTTTAAGTTGAAGCAAAACTTATTTCAAATACAGTGAATGAATGAGTCAACATTTCTCATTAAAATTGTATATTAATGATTCGTTAGTTCCAAGTCATTTGTTAATAGCAAGTATTTTGATAAGAAACTAGACAAGTTTCTCGGTTTCTATGCGCAACAGACATGCAAAATGAGCTCAATCATTCGTGAATGATTGTTCTGAAACTTTTGATTCTTATATCACTTTGTAGAGAACAATTTTGTCTTTAATTCAATGCGGCAAAATCAATAATATAATGTATACAGTAGAGTAGGCTACAGATACAAAGGACGTCAATTTTCTTCGTCCACATTTAATTTATGGACCTTTAAAAACTCGACTTATTACTCCTTGACGAGAAGTCCTACAAACGTTTTCAACCCTATATTCACAAAAAACAAAAACATTCGATCATTTGTTATCGTTTCTAATGTTTCTTACTCGTACTAAAATTATTTCAACATAAAACTGGTTTTTTTTCTCGTTGATGTAATTGAATTGATTAGTATTGAAAAAAAAGTTTCTATCGGATAATAAGGTTTTGATTGACATCGATCGTCTAATATTTTTTTCTTGTTGTTGATCTAGAAAATTATAATCTTTCCAGTTGTTATTCAAAGATGGACTTTGATCCAGTTCTTTTTATCTTATGTTTATCATCTAATATCATATTTCAAAATATATATTACATACTTAGAAATTGCTTAGTCAGTTGACAAATTGATATTTTCTTCTGATAAAATAAATATGTCTCTTGCAATTCAAATCGAGTTAAAACGATTGATTCTCTATATGCAACAATGATTACATGTTGTCTAAAAATGTGTCAAATAATTCAACAAATTGAAAAGAATATTACATATAATTTGTATTATTTTATTTTTAGATTGATGAGTAGAAAAAAAAATAGTAATAGATCCCATGATTGAACATCTTTTATTTGTGATAATTGATTGCTTTTATCAATGAAAAAGATAAATTAGACTTTTTTTTTTTCATTGATCTACCATAAAAATAATCGAGAAATCCATTGAGAAATCGAACATTCATTTATTTTCTTGTTGTTCTAGTCATGAATTTTTTTATTATTTGTCAAATCCAATCGAATGGTACATCATTTTTTTCTATTTTTAATCACAACGTTTAGTATTCACATTGACACCCACACCAAAAAGTGTTGCTATATCATTGGAAAAAAAAACTATTTTCTTTTATATCGTTATTCATTACGTTTATGTTGCATGTAACTTCTTCACCGATGGCAATGTTTCGATCTGGATTTCATCTTTTATTACTTATCTGTTGTGTTATTGCCATAGTAAGTTATAATAAAGAATTATTTCGAAGATTTTCTATTTTATTTCTAGACATCATATAGAATTGATCATCATCTACATGAAGATAGAAATCAACGGGCTGTAACTGAATGGCGTTTTCGACGTAATTTTTTTCAATTATTACCATATTTAGATGCAAATAATGCGGTAGTTTGTTAATATTTATCTTTGAAATATTATTGTTTTTTTTTTATTTTTCTTTTTCTTTTATTAAGAATTATGAATTAATTGAAAAAGATGCAATGGATGATGATAATGAATATGGAGTAAAAATATATAACAAGAAATATCTTCCTAATTTATCCTATGACCAAATTATTTAATAAACATATGTTTGATTTAGAGTTTAAAAAATAAATCAACATAAACAGAAGAAATATATTTATTTTATTCTTGAAAGAACTTTTTTCCATTAATTATAAGATGGTATAAAATTAAAATAATGTATTGAAAAAAAAAAAACAAGAACAATATTTTATTAAGAATCAAAAAAATCTCTGTAGTATATATAATAATGAATAATCGATTTTTATTTTATTTACTTTGACTTTATAATCAAGGTTACCGTATCCATGAAGCTGTATGAAAAAAAAAAAAACTTTGAACTATATATCGAATTTAGTAAAGAGAATGAATTATTTTCTTTTTTTTTATTTAATTCATACAGTACAACATACTGCAATAGTCTTTTTCTGATGTTAAAGATATATCATAGCATGTTTCATTCTGCTACAGACGAACAATATCGATTTGAAAAATAACAGACATTGTGTATGGCTCAATTAGTTTTTTTTTTTTTTGATAAATTTAATTGAAGAGTTTAGAGTTAATGATAGAAAAACTATTGTGATGAAACTAAACAAAAAGAAACATATCGTATTCCAGTGAGATTCAGTTACAAATACGCATAACACTATAGTATAAGAGTTGTATAATTATCTTCATGATACATTCTTGCAATAGATAGTGATCATGAAACTTAGATATATAGTACTTAAGGAACATTAGGTAAATTACTTGTTTTTTTTCTTTCTAACAAATATTTCATTATATGTTGATACGGATATATTATCTAATTATGTTTTGATATCTATTCCTTGAGGAATTCCTATACAAAAATAGAATATGAATGGTAATTTTTATAAAATGTAAATGACAAAAGAAAAACAAATAGAAAGTATCGATGAATGTCGAGTAAAATGATGAAAGACTTGAGTACGAATATTGTTTTAAAAAAATTCTCTCAAGAGAATTTTCAGATAGTTTTTTTTTTATATTAAAAAAAGAAACAATTGAATAAATTAGTTCTCTTATACAAATGTCGATAGATGACATAAAAATTTAGCTTGATTAATCAAATTTTATTTACTATTGTTTGTGCGTCATTTCCCAGATGAATAATATATTATAATTGATATAATCTATGTATCCTTGTCTTTCTATAAATACACATTAAGATAACGCTGACAATAGTTATCATATCCTTTCTTTCTTTTTTTTTTCTGACGTAAACAATACATTAGGAAAAAAAATATTCTTTCGCATCGCTAACCTATAATCATCTTTAATGGATTCTTTTAATGGTTGTTAGGGAGAAACAAAAAAAAAAAAAAAAAACGATAAACGAAATGAAACTTGATATGAGTACTAATAGAAAGGTCGATGGCAAAGAAAATGGGATCATTGTCTTTGCCATTATCTATCATGAAAATGGTAAATGCAAAAATATGACAACAACCATGCTATATTAATATTTCAACATATAACATAAATCTCGTAGAATAAAATCGAATTTTTATTATAGAATTCTTGTTTACTAACTAGATTTTACATATATAGATTAATCTCATATTTTCAATTTGTTATTCTTATTAGTCTTGTTATTTCTCATGGTCGAGATAAAATAATCATTGTTGATTCAGCTCTGGACGTGCAACTGATATGTGTGTTCTTTCCATTAAGTTTGTTTTCCTTCTCTCTCTCTCCTTGAATTCGCTTGCCCGATTCTCCATTCTTTTTTTTTATATTCATCCGTAATAATTACAACAAAAACAAGAGAACGACAACATTGCTGACGAGAAAGAGAGCGAAGAGTAATAGAACGCGCACACTGATGTATGCATTTTCTATATAAGCAAGTGCTCTCCTTGTCGACATCGACGTGGCGACCATCTCACAAACCAAATCCGATCAACATTCTTATTTACCTCATTCAAATAAATTGATTGAGAAAGAAACGTAGAAGTAACAATAGAAAAAAAAGCAGAACAATTGAATTATAACTTCATTAAACAAAAGACGGTGCCCTATCATTTTGAATCTTCCTGGTGGCTTATGGCCAACAGAGATAATGACAATGATGATGATGATTCAAATTATATGAATGAAGAAGATGATGATAATAATCATGACACTTCACCACCGGCCAAACGTATTAAATTGAGTAAGTGTTTTTTTAGATTAAAAGACAACAGATTTAATTAAATCAATCAACGATATAACATTTGACAGATATAGATATATATAGAGATGTGGCTCCCTCTGTCTAAATCCTGTTGATGACAGTCTGTTTGTTTATAAAAGAGAAACGGATGCGCGTGCGTTTCTTAGCTACATCATCTTCACTGACATTTTCATATCCGGATTTGAGCATTGCATGCATGCATGCCTATGGATGACTGATTTTTTTCCTTGATGTTTGTTCTTTTGTTCTTCTTCTTTTTTTCTTGTTCTCTACGTGTTTTTTTTTTTATTTATTCATTTGTTCGCTTGAAAGAAGACTTTCAAATAGGATATGTCGGCATATATCCATAGTTTCACTCATATTAATTAACAATTTTAATTAATATTAAATAAATATGAAAGGAAAAAAAAAACATCATTTTCTTTTTTTTTTTTCATTATTTCTTAATTATAGTCTAAAGAGCATTATCTTCTTATTTCTTTTCTTATTAATCTATTAAAATACTCGATGACGTCTATGATTTACGTTTATAAAAAAAAAAAAAACAAAATAAAATTTCGTCATCTTTTTATGCAATAAATTTCAATTTTTTCAAAGAACGGTTACACTTATGTGTGAAGTGTAAACTAGATGAACCATACGAAAGAAACCTTTCATCGTTTATCGAAAGATTTAGTTTTATTTTTTTTATGGGCGTAGATGTATTAAAATATTTAAGCAAATGAATCCAGTTAAACGACTATATATGCTTGATTCATCATCAAGTATGCACTTGAAACACATTTATTAATTTTGCTAGTTTATTTTTCGATTAAAATTTTGTTTGTCCTAATTTTTGTTTTTCTTACATTGATATCGATCGAAAGATCAATTGTTCATGGTTTGTATGATTGTTGTTGTCATATACTACTCAAAAGTTAATTTAATTATTATGAACGGGAACTTTCGTCTGTTAATGCTCCGATTCTATCGGTCGACAATTACTTATTATGTCTATACGAACTTTCCCTTTTTTTTGCTTCTATCGTGATTTCTTTTCATTTAATTTGATTATTCGAAGAACCTTATCATTCATAGGTCATACCCATTTATAGAAATGAGAGCGGAACAAGGTAGGATGTGTTTCATCTCTGGTTAAAAAATAATTGATTAATGATCTTGTGTTTTTTTTTTCTTGTTGAATAGTATAAAAACGCTCGAGTTGTTGATTATTTAATTATTTTTGCATATTATCGTTAAAGAAAAGTACTTTCATATAATGAAATATTATTATGAGAATTGAAGTTGTTTTTGTCGTTATTTCCTATTTTATTAGAATGGTTTCTTCATAATTGCATTTGTGTATTTAAGTGTGTTAAGATGAAAATAATTCTATTCGGTTGAACGGATAACACCTTGTGTGTTGTCGAGTATTTTTAATCGATTTAAGGTTAGATAGACTGAACAGGAAAAAACAGATTCACTTTTTTTTTTTTATCAAATGTCGACAATTGAGACTTTTTTTTTCTCCAACAAAATCTTTTAGACTATTGAAGAATTATTATGCTCATCTTCAATCATAATTTGTAAAGCTTCTTCTGCTTCGTCGCATTAAGCACTAGTGTGTAGTAACAGCATGATGCGTGTTTTTCTTCTCATTCTCTTTTACAAACGGGTCGCGTCAAGAAGAAGAGAAAGAGAAGGACGGGAAACAAGAGATTGTAGTAGTAGTGTTACTTTTTTTTTTTTTTCTTCTTCCTTCTTTCTTCGCTTCAATTACTCGTCTTAGGGCTAGCAAGCTTGAGAGTACGCCAACGACTATTGCTCCATCTCTTACTCGTGGTGTTGGTTTGTAAGCGAAACAGACCGTTCTCGCGTCTCACCCACACTATCGATCGTCTACATACAATTCTTTACTAGTTGCTTACGTCTTCTAATAAAGACGCTTGTTCTTCTATTTCTTCTTTTGCCATCATCATCATCACCATCATCATCATCATCATCATCATCATTGTTGTTTCAATCGTTCGTACGTCATTATTGCCCGTATATTTATTTTAGTTTCTATTGTCGTTCGTAGTCCGCATGTTTTTGTTTTTATTGTTGCTTTCACTTCAAGACGAAGAGTTTGGTCGATCATGACATATGTCGCAATTCGTCATTTTTACCTTATCGAGCTTTTTCTCCATCATTTCTTTTTTGTGATATTTATCAATAACATTATTTACGACAATAATCAGCATGAATTTAATCAAATGTTGTACCTCAGCACACTCTTCATCAGATCATCCAAATCTTTCGAAAAAGAAAACATCATCTACAAAAAAAACTGGTATGTTCTTAAGATCTTTTTTTTTTACATTCAATCGATAATTACGTATTTTAAAACATTAAAAGCGCGAATGTACTAGAGCATGTATACATATGCACACATATATGAGAACAGAAAAAAGCTTGTGCATATGTGTGCTTTTTACAATATTAATTGAAGTAGTGAGAAGGTGATGCATATGTGTTCGTAATCAATGTGCGTTTGTATGCATCTGTGTGTGTGTGTGTGTGTGTGCTTTTTTTCTTTTTTTGTATGATGACATAGAATAAAACAAAACAAGTCATCGTTACTACCACTTCTCACATACAATAATGATTAGCTATTTGAAAGCATGCAGGAAATAATGAGAGATGCTTCTCATATTGTCAAGCATGTATTAAAAATAGGAAGAAAAAAGGAAGTCAAGAGAAAATGAGAAAATCATCCTTGTAATATGATATGACATGAAAAAAAAAAATAGAAAAAAAAAGAAATACAAATAAGAAAAGTTATTAGAAGAAAATCCAAATCTTATAAGTGGATATAAATGAATTTTGAATTGAATGGTTTTTTTTTTTTTTTATATATTTAATTAATTTCTCATAGAAATTAATGGATAATTTTTTGATTAATATTAAATTAAATTAAATTAATTTTTTCTTTATTATAGCTAATTCTGAACAATCACCATCTTCATTAACAGCTGATTCAGTTAAAGTTTATCTTGGTGAACATCCAGAATTTCTTGATTCATATATACAACAAAATATTCAAATAAATACAATTGAACAATGGATATCAAAAAAACCTCAAAAAACATCATCATCAACATCAATACCAACAGTTTCATCACATAAAAATTGTATTTCAACATCAGTAATAAAAGATGAAGGTAAATATACATTGAAATTCTATCAGTTGTTTTTAATCGTTAAATATTTATATGAGTTCGTAGAAGATTTACGATCGTATTTGTAAAATTTTATGACTGAATATGTCTTTCTTTCTTTCTTTTTTTTTTTTTTGTCTTATTATACTTAGATATTAAAAGAAAAACTTCATCACAATCTTCCAACCAAATATCAACAACAACAGCAAAAACGATGAATACGGTAAGAAGAATTTTTAGTATTAAAAAAAAAAAATTTTTTTTTTTGAAATCGTATATATAAATATAGTTAGCTGAATTAAGCGATAAACGTCGTTTATTACATGAACTTACAGATGAAGTTAATCAAAATGTAAGCAAAGCTCAAATTTTATATGAATTAAGTAAATCAATTGCATCAAGTAAATTAATATTATGTTTTATTTTTATAAATAAATTTTATTTTGTTGTTATTTTTTTTTATTTAGCTGTATCAGCTGATGGATTTAATTTATATTTGGTTGACGAAACTGGCACTAGTATGCGATTGTTTAGTGCAGAAAATGATGAGTACGTAAATAGTTAAACAATCGATAACATCTGTTCGATATTAAACATAGATATAAATTCTAAGCCTGACAGGACAAGTCAGAGAATCGAACAGATCTCTTTTCTTTTTTTTTTTTTTATATCTATTCAGTCTATGACAAGCTATGAACCTCTTCAGCCAGTCTTTAACTGTCATCCGTTTCCGTCGGTTAGATCTGTCTCTCGTGGCCTATGTATATGTCTATGTCCTAATATAATGATGATAATTGAATAGAAGTCGAAGACTATCTTTAGAAGAAGGCAAGAAAGTCATATATGGTAAGACGATATAATTATATCAAACATTGATTTAATACAACATATATCTATGGAGAATAAACAAAAAAAAATGAAAGAAACATCAATATATAGAAAGAAAAAAATATATATATATATATATTCTAGTTTTCAATAAGAGAATTTTGAAATAAATTTAATGAACTAGTTAAAAAAAAATGAAAAGACATATTAAGTTTTGTCATATGTCTGTAAGATAAATCTCAATCAAGAAATAATAAAAATTAGTGAACGATTCATTGAAGATAATAAAAAATAAATGATTAGGAAATTCCAATATTATCTTATTGAAATAGATGATGAACAATGTAATCAAAATCTATTATTATTCATGATTGTGTCTAGTCAATATGATATCAAAAAAAGAATAGGAGTAGTTCTCATTTTCCAAGTAATAAAAATAACTCGAATTTATAGTTTGATATTAACATTCTGTACTCAAAAAAAGGAAAAACCGACATTTTATATTGAAAAGTCAATCCAACATGCAGATCTTTAATAATCTGTTTGAATTTCTACTATAAGCATCTTAATTTTGTATGATACTCTTAAGAGTAAATAAACTTTTTTGTTTCTAGTATGTAGAAATTCAAATTATTGTATTTAACTGTGAAAAATTTCTCAGCTCAAATGACATGCAAAATTTTATGTTGAGAAAAATAATAATTTAATTCGGACATAGTTCTTTGAATAATAAGAATGAAAGTATCGACTTACATGCGAGTACAAAATATATTTTTCCGTATTAAACATGTAATCTGTCACTTGTTTCGAGAACCTTCATTCTAAATAAAAAGTTAACCTTTGTTTTATTAAAATTATTCAATATACAAACTATCGAAATTTTAAAATTTCTTACATAAAAAAACAAATATTTGATTTCTTTTATTTCTATATAAGACTCTATTGTTAACCTTAGAAGTATTATATCGAAATAATTATTAATAACGGAAAAAAAAAATAGCATAATATATATTCTAGTGAACAAGCAGCATGTTATATTCCTGTTCAAATTAAACCTGGTCATTGTCTTGCTGGTTATATTGCTTGGTCAAAAGAAACCGTACGAATTAATAATATGACAACAGTAAGATAAATGTCAATGTTTATTTATTTTATTTATTGTATTTTTAAAAAATAAAGCTTGATATGGAAAAATATCCTGATGGTCTTTATATAAAAGATGATAAAGTAACTGCAGTTATGGCACATCCTATAATAAATGCATCTGGTACTCTACTTGGTATGAATATGATTTCAATTTTTCTGAAATCTTCTTAATAAATTTATAAATAGGTGTTGTTGAATTTTATCGTGTTAGTAGTACAATGCCATTTACTGATGATGATGAAGATGTAAGTTCTTTTTTTTTTGTCGATTTAATCTATAGAAGAATATATATTGTGGCTTTTATGTTTGTATAATTATTACATAAAATAGTTTTAGAGAATAATTATCGTCTCTATAGAATAACGAATATTTGTCTTTTTTTTTTATTTTGTTTTGTAATAAAAATACAGTAGCTTTATATATTAGTATTTTTTTTTTTTGTTTGTAGTAAAATTCTTCTTATATAATTATTTTCTCTTTTGCTTCAGGAAATTCTAAAATGCGTGAATGAGCTTTTCACCCAAACGTATTACGAGGTATTACACATCCTAATTAATTATCTCTCTATTTGATTTTTAAAATCGAATTTGTTTTTAATGTCTGTGTGTATATGTCTACCGATTTCGGTTTTTTTTTGATTTGCATACGCTGCTTGATTATTCATCCTTATTATTTTTTTTCTCTTTCTACCTTTACGCTTTAGAAATTCATTTGAGAAAAAAAAACGAAGTTATCTATCGCTAATCATTTTATATTTTTATTGGATAAATTATTGTTTCTTTTTTTTTTTGTTTGTTTTACTTTTAGCTTTATCATTCAATGACACGTGAACGACGTTTGAACGATTTTCTATTGGCTGTAACTAAATCGATTTTTCAAGAACTTGTTAGTATGGATGCTGTTATGCTTAAGATAATGAGCTATGCAAAAAAGTTGGTTAATGCTGATCGTGCTTCTTTATTTATGGTTGATTCTCGTACAAAAGAACTTTATGCAAGAATATTTGATATAGGACGTGAAGAACATGATGTACTTAATTCATCACTTGTTAATGATAAAAATGGACAAATACAAAAAAATTTATCATCTGATGAACGTGCTTGTATACGTTTTCCAATGGATAAAGGTATTGCTGGTTATGTAGCAGCAACTGGAAAAACTTTGAATATTACTGATGCTTATAGTGATGAACGATTTAATCGGTAAGAATTTATATAAATATATTATTAATTGATAAGATTAATCTTTTTTGTTTTGTTTTGTTTCATAGAGATATTGATCAGAAAACAGGTTATAAAACTAAAACACTTTTATGTATGCCAATTATGATTCAAGGAAATGTTATTGGTGTTGTTCAAATGGTTAATAAAAAAAATGGACCTTTTACAAAAAGTGATGAAGAATCATTTGAAACATTTGCTGTTTATTGTGGACTTGGTATGTTTAAATATAAGAGATGTTTGATGATTTGTTTTTTTTTTAATTCTTAACGTAGTTAATTATAAATTTTGAATAGAAATAGTTTTGATTAAATTAACAATTAAAGTCTAAAAGACTTGTTACATGCAAACAAATTATAGCTATTAATATAATTGAAAAGATCTATTCAAACAAAAAAGAAATATGCGTCAGTCTCAATGGATTCTATTATACGTAATCTTTGATAAAAAAAGAAAGAAAAAAGAACAAAACTGAATAATCTCAAGAGATCTTTGTTAATTTTCATATAATGAATTATGTGATATCTTATGTATAAGCATTATAGATTATAAATTGCTTTGAAAACAATAGCAAGAAAAATTACTCGAGGGAAATATATTACTAAGAATATCTGAATAAATATTCTACTATTTAATAATATCTTATATGAATTAACTAAAATTTTATTTTTTTATTTTAAGCTTTACATCATGCATCACTTTATGATCGTATACGTCGTTCGGAACAAAAATGTAAAGTCGCTCTTGAAGTTTTATCATATCATGCATCATGTCCTGATGAAGAATATGAACGTTATAAAACATATGAACTTCCAAGCAACATTCCAAATATTAATCAATTTGAATTTTCACCATGGAGTGTTGCTAATGATATGAAACCTATTTATGTTCTTTATATGTTTCGTGATTTGACTAATATGATGGATCCATTGAATGCGAATAGGTAAATAATTAAGAATTTTATTTATTCAATCGGTTTGATTTTTATTTTTTAAAGATTTGATATGGAATGTGTGATAAGATTTACATTAACTGTACGAAAAAATTATCGTAATGTTCCTTATCATAATTGGTCACATGCATTCAGTGTTGCACATGCAATTTACACTGTGATAAAACAGACTAAACATAAATTTACACCGAATCAGGTTTGTAAAAAAAAAAAACAAATGTATAATTCATAGGAAGAAAATAAAAATGAAATTCTAATATTCCACAATTATTTTAAATAATCATTTCTTCTTTTGTTAATATTTATTTTCAGATGATTTCGAGAGAACTTTAGGGTCGAAAATTAGTTTTTCTGATGTTTCTTAAGGTAGACTCTACGACATTCGTTTAAAAAATATCGTAAAAATGCAATAATAATCTAAGGACATGAGTTCTTTTCAAAATATTCATAATTCATTTGAGTCTTCATAATGTATGTAATTTCAATTCAAAAGTGATTTTATTCATTGAAAGACATTTCTCATTAGACTCTTCTCAGATTACCGTCAAAATCAATTGTTTAATTCTAACTTTACACAAATTAAATTCTTAATAATACTATTTTCATTATAAAAATATCAGATTTTCTAATATCTTTTATCCTAAGTTACCAAGATTGAATATTCTATGATACAAAGAAGCAAATATTATCTTTATGTTTATATCTTAGAATAGAGAATATGATAGTTGCATAATAAAGTTGTTCTATAATGAACTTTTATTATGTAAAATTATCACAATTCTAAAGTCGATTTTAAAGGTTATTCAGTAGAAGTCAAGATATTCAGTTGAAAACATAATGAAAATGAATCATAGCTGAAAAAAGAAAAATCCATGGACATAAATCATTTTCGACTTTTTCATAGAATCTTCTTAAAAGAAGATAAGATGTCATTGAAAAACAATTTATCATTTGACAAGATTCTTTGATTGATGATATATGATAATCAGAGACAAAAAGAAAAAGAATATTAATATGAATCTAATTAAAAAAACAAAACAAAAAAACAGTACATATGTTAATTATATTTAGTGTATTGCTCTATTTGTTGCTTGTCTTTGTCATGATCTTGATCATCGTGGTAAAACCAATGATTATATGGTAAAAAGTGCTTCAACTCTTGCTTCTATTTATTCAACATCAACTATGGAACGACATCATTTTAATCAAACAGTAACTATATTACAAGTAAAATCGTAATTTGTTTTTCTTTTATTTAATATTAAAATAATTCATGTTTAATATATTTAGACGGAGAGTCATAATATATTTAAACATCTTTCACCCAAAGAATATCGACAAATGTTAGATGATATTCGTCATTGTATATTAGCAACAGATTTAGCATTATTTTTTGAAAATCGTCCAAAATTTGAACATATTATTGATAATTCTCAATTCGATTGGAACAATAAAGAGCATACGTGAGTTGGATATATTATATTTCTATATCCAGAACAATAAGTTTATATATATATATATATATATATATATCTCAAGTATTCAAATTTATCATTGCTGGTTTCTTTATTTTCTTTTCCCTGAAAATTTTCTGTCGCTGCAGCAATTCTATCTTGATAATCAATTATATAATTATCTTTTCATTGCTTTGCTCTTATCTCTAGACAACTCATGATGGGGCTCAGTATGACCGCTGCTGATTTATGCTCTTCGTTTAAACAATGGGAAGTACAGCGGTCGAATGTGAGCATCATCATGGAGGAATTTTTTCAACAGGTGATTGAATATGTTTGATTTTTGTTCTCTCTCTCTCCCTCTTGCTGTCTACATTAAATCTTACAAGAAAACAGCATTCACTGATCACAATAAGAAATAAAAAACCGGAAGTGATTAATAAAAAAAAATTTTTTTTGTTTTTGCTCTAAAAATTAAACTTATATTAACACACAAAAGTTCGTCGTATAATGATGTTCATTGTGTGTATTTGTTTCTCTTTTTTTTTTTCCTTACAGTCAACGTTTACAATCATTATCAATGACAGTAGTCGATTTATGTGCTATGTATAAACCTTGGCAAATACAAGAAAATGTTGTCAATACGATCATGGACGAATTTTGGCAAGAGGTGTGCCTTCTTTTTCTTAAAGAAAAAAAAAATACATATTCTTGCTGCTTTCTTCTAATGGATTCGATTTTAATTATAATAGAGAAAGAAAGCAAGAGGGAGAGATATATCTTGTAGAATATTTTTTTTTCTTTTAATCTGAAAATTTATTCATACAGGGTGATGAAGAAAAACGACGAGGTATTCAACCACAATCATTAATGGATCGATCACTGGCACATGAATTGCCAAAAAACCAGGTAAAAAAAAATATATATATATATTAATATTATAACATAGAAAAATAATAATCGATTACATTATCAATACGATATGTATAAGTATGCATCAATCCTTGTCTGACTTGTGACTAGGATTGCTACATACCAAGATGTATATCATATAAAAGTTATTAAAAGTACATACCCTCGTTTTGGTTATTTGTAGTTCTCGAAGAAAGTACAACGAATCTGCATGAAATTTCTATTAAAAGATAAAGTACCTAAAATAAGAAGATATGTATAAAGATTCAGAGTCCAAACTGGAGTGCTTTATAAATCTGGATAGAAAGGTCAAAAACAAAGATGGAAGAATTCACCTCTGAAGAATACTTTCAAGTATTTGTGGTCAAAATTCCATCGAAAACCGGATTTCTTTCATGAAAACTACAAAAAACATTGTTGAAAATTTTTTTCTTCTTTCGAACACGTAATTCCTTATTTTAAGATAGTAAAAATTTCATGAAGATCCATTTTATTCTCTTCAAGAATCAAATTCTAAAACTTAATTTTTCTTTATTCTAGGTGAATTTTATCAAAAGTATTTGTATCCCGTGCTATTCGTTAATTGTACGTATTCTACCTGAGACAATGCCTATGCTGAATGGAGCCAGGTATATAAAAACAAGCTCGTTTATTTTTTTATATTCTATTAAAAAAATTAATTTTCTTCAGAAGTAATCTTCAACGATGGCAAGAACTTGCTGATGAACAACAATCATCTAGAATGTCTACGACATATCCACAGACTCATCAGCCAGCATCGTCGTGATATGCTTGTCTCTGTCTCTTTTTCTCTTTTTTTTTTTTTTTTTTATGTTATCCGCTCATTGTTTGTGTTTTACTTTCTTGCTTTTTCTTTTCTTTTTTTTTTTAATGCACAATACAATGATCAATATTTTTAATTGCATCATTCTCCAAAAAAGATGAGGTTTTTATTTCATAAAGACAAATAATGACAATGACAATAAATTTTTGAAAAACACGCACACGCCAGTGACTAAATACACTTTATATTTGTATATATATATATATATGTATATCGCCAATTAAAAAAAAAAAAAAAGAAAAACGAAGCGGACAATATTTTGCTCTATTTCTTTTACATACACATAAAAATGTTGTGTTTTCTTTTCATTTAGAATTACTGAAGCAAAGAATAACAACAACAAAAACAGGAAAAAAAACACGAATTCTTCTAAATCAAAATATGATTCATATATGCTTGTATGTATGTATGTATTTGTGCAAAAAAAAAATACTATGTGTAATTAGTCAATATATATATATATATATATATAGATAGATAGATAGAGAAAGAGATTGAGAAATGACGCTTTGAACACCAATAAAGAAAACACACAAATATATGAAATAAAAACAAAAAAAAAAAGAAAATGTCTCAATCATGAAGATGATGCAGTTGCATCAGGTGAAACAACTGATTCATCATGAATATCAACATTTATTGTTGATGATGATGGTGGTGTTCGTAAATCAATAATACCTTTTTCTCGAATAACTTTTAATGCAGCTTGTTCAGCAGCACGTACAACATCTTCACTATGATCAACTAATGATATTATATTTACACCATCCCATTGAACACCACATGAATTAAGTAATTCATGAACCTTCAAAAAATAAAGAAGAATTAATTGTTTTTTTTTTTCTTGGGAAAATAAATTTCTCTATGGCAAAAATCAATATGGAACAGTTGTGAAATTATATATTCAAGGAAATATGACAATATTTTTAGTACAATTAGTATTTAAAACAAACATTATAAATAGCTCCAAACAATTTTTGACTAGGATGTTTTTATATAGACATTATGTTTATGTTATATAGAAAAAGTTTTCCAACATGTCATGGAATATTAATCAGAATAAATGATTTTACTAATTGAAGAGTTATTCTATAAGGAGGGCAATCAATCAGAAAAATCTCATAATACAAAAGATTTGTTTGTTGTCCTTAGTTGACAAGTCATCGAATTGATTAATCATTTTTGAGTTAGGACAATGTGCATAATATAGATCTTAATGAAATATAAATATTCTGAGAAGTGCTTAAACTCTTAATTTATTATTGTAGAGATATAAGATTTTTAAGTCAATATCATTGTTGTTTATCAAGAAAATTGATTTTCAAATATATTCAGAAACAAGATAAATAATCATTCTAAAAAATGAGTATAATACTTCTTTTTCTTTTTGTTAGAAAGTCTTCTGATATTATCTCTAAAAAACAAAACAAAAAGAAATTTATCATAAGAATAAATTTTCTCATCTGTTTTGTTATTCAAACAATTTGCTCTTTTTCTTCTATGACATCTATAGCATTTATTCTTGTGTACTGGAAAATCAAAATCAAATTAGTATAAGTCAAAAAAAATATGGATTCTAATGGAAAAAATGAAACCATATGTTTTCATACAGTCCAAATACTCGACTACTAATATCTCTTTTCTCGTTCTTAATTATTGTTAAAACATGTCCTTTTCTTAACATATGTCACCAAAAGAATAATGCTTTTGTATTTGACATCTATCATAATTCATTGATAATCTAAAGTACAGAACTGAGATTATGTATATAATGGGAGGGAGAATAGTCACTCAGAAATAACGATTTAAAATTGATCGAAATCTATTAATGAGAACAAAATTTATTGGTCAAATACAACTAAAATCTCATCCATATGAAAAAAGTTTTAGAAAGAGTTTAGTTTCTTATGACAGATCTAGAATTTCTGTAAATAGAGGCGATCATAGTAGAGACCTGCATCACAGTCATTTTTAAAAGCATTTTGAGTTCTCTAAATTGCCTATAAGTGAATTAAGATGTGAGTCACATCTTCTAAGGGCTTTACAAAGATGGAAAAAACTCAAGCTTCGCAAAGACATCAATCCAATTCCAAAAATATATCATTTTGTATAGTAAATACTAAAGAATAACATGATCATAGTCACAAAACATGTTTTCAAGTCGAATCAGCTCATTTTTTGGCATTTTCTGCTGGGAAAAATAGTTCGGAAGGAAGGGGCGATTGTGTCCCCCTGTAAATCTGTCATTACCAGAGAAGCAATCGAGATCTTCTAATAACGCTTCTAGAAAGAGGGGATGACCTTCCTATTTATTTACACTACAAATGTTTAGACAAAACTGTATTGTTCGAAATTAAATTTATCATAATACACAAAGATCTACATATGACTTTGGTGTTTGTTTTTGGATTTTTTTTTTGCTTTCCGTTTTTGTTGAAATTTTCTTCTTACATCAGTATCTGTGACAGGTATTTCCTGAGTACCACCCGATGCTGTTTCAAGTAACATTCTAACATCAAATGCATCAGCTTGTTCATCATAATGTATAGCTGGATGTTTTCCTCGATAGAATAAAATTCTTGCTCGTTCATTTGCTTCTCTCCAACTAAGACCACGAGCTATTGAATGTGATGATGTTGTATTATTTAATGTACGATCACCATTTATTGATGTTAATAAATAACGTGATGATTCATCATTAGCAGATTTTGATATACCTATACGTGGTGGTAATGAAACATACATTTCTTTAATAATTAATGCTAAAAAAAAAAGAAAACAAGAAAAAATTAAAATTATATAAAATACTAAATAATAAAACATACGTTTTCCATCTAATCTATCTTTCATTAAAGTTTGTACATCTGGTTTATCAATATCATCAAATTGATTTATTGCATGTGCTTGTTCAATAACATCAACAATTTGTTCAATTAAATAATCTTGATTTTTATTATTATTTTTAAAATCTTGTTTTAATTGTTGTTTTAAATCATTATAATTTTTAAATTGTCCTGGTTTTTGTTCATCTAAATATGTTAATGTTTTATTTATATAAATATCTAATTGTTTATTATCATCATCATCATTTGATAATTTATTATGATTAATTAATAAATTTTTTAATGATAAATTAATTTTTGATCGATGATTTTTTAAATTTTGTCTTGCACGTTCACTTAATAAAAATGATGAACGTCGTTTTTCTTCATTAGGTGCTTGTGATAATAAAAATAGACCATCACGATGTGATTGTTTTAATAATTCAATTGAACGATTACATAAATCATGTGCTTTTAAATATTCACGTTGTAATTGTAATAATAATTCATCCCATGTTGATATTGTATTTGTTGAAAGTATTTCTAAACTACGTTGTAAAATTTTATTTAATTCTTTAATTTGTTTTCGTGTTAATTTTTTTTCTTTTATTTCATTATTAATTAAATATTCTTGTAACCATAATAATTTATTAGATTTTAATATATTATATTCTTCAATTGTTAATAAACTCATTTGATTATTATATAAATTTGCTGTTTGTGATATATTTGAATTTAATATATCAAGATTAATTTTTTCATGCATTTGTGTTATATCACAACTATTAAATGTATCACGTATAATATCAATAATTGGATCAATAAGATAAAATATTTGTTTATATTCTGTTTTTAAATCATTACGAATTTGTTCATATGATTGAATTTTTGGATGTGTAACAAGTACTAAACTTCGACGAATAATTTTTTCAATTTCTTTTGAATGTTCATTAAATTTTCGAATTGATGGTTTTGATGATTGTATATGTTCATGAAGAATAGTACCTAATTCATGACGATGAGTATTTAATTGTAGACGACGACGTTCATCAAGTAAACCATTCGATGATGTTGTTGTTGATGATGATGATGATGATGATGGTATTTTTGTTTTCGATTTTGAACGACCACATGTTAAACAAGAACCTGTTTTATTATCTATTGATTTTGTTGTTTGTTTAGATGATTTCTTTTCGATAGTTATGGGTGTTTCACTTGGAATAGAAACATCCGGAATAAGAGAACGAGTTTCACTGTAAAAAAAATATAATAGATTATCAATTTTCATACGATAATCTGATTATTTTAAGGGCGTTTCTTTCCTCTCCGCCTTTCTTGACACAAATTTTTTTTTCTGGTCATTATATCGTCTAAAGTCTTGGAATCCAAAAATTGTCTTTAAATGTTATAAAATTAACTAAGCAAAAACTCTACATTATTTCACATTTTTCTCAAAATCAATTTTTTTAACAACAAAAAAAAATTTGAAGTTTTCTTCCGAACGATTACGCTGAAATTGGTTTTTTTTTTGTATGACAATTAAGATCAAATCGAAATATATATATATTATTTTTCCTCAAGGATGTGAGTGTTGACAGTTTCTCCATCCGCACACGCCTACAACCTTAGCCACAATGACACCCTTTATATACAATGTTCGTTGACTAGAAAGTAATCAATAGTTATCTTAATTATTGATTTCTGACTGACTATTGAATAAGCTGTTTAGAATGAATAGGAGAACGTGAATAGATTATAAGTAGAATGTCAAATGACACATTATATATTGAATAGAAGACTCTTTCATTGAATAGAAGTGTTGAAATTGTGTATTTTTTTTTGTTCTTATTCATTTCAAACTGTTTATTCAACACATAGTTTAGTTAAGGCAATGACAAAATCAATGATAAAAAATTACTATTGATTAGGTTTTACTCTACTATTATATTTACTCTTTGTTAATCAATTTCGAGGAAAAAAGAAACAGATTACTTTCTATCTACCTATAAATTAATTTTATAGAATGCTCGAAACATCTGTTATTCAATAAAAAGATGATGACAGGTTTTTTTTTATTACAATTTAAGTCAAACAAATTTATCATTTTAGAATTTTCTAAAT